CACACACACACACACACACACACACACACACACACACACACACACACACATACAGCCCAATACTGACAGTCAGTGACGGGCACATGCGTGTCCACGAACCCCCGATGAAAGGCAAAATCTGTGAAAGGCATTCCGCAACGCAGACCCCAAATTCGAATTTCAGGGGGTCAAGGTGTCAAGCCAAGGGAGGCCAACTCGGGGGCCAGTTCCGAAACGTCACAGTCGGGTACCTTAGGCTTAGGAGACAAGTCCAACAGGCACCCACCCGGTAAACAGTCACATCCCAAAGGCAAAAGTTGCATTCTGTAAGCAAAAGTCGCGTCTCGTATTGAAAAGTCGCGTCCAACAGGCGAAGGACACTTCTCCAGGCAAAAGCCGTGTCCCAGAGGCAAGAGTCCCATCCTACACGTAGTCAAAAAAAAGTAATGTTCCACAGGACCACAGACGAAAAGTCGTGACTCACAGACCCAAGCAGCAGCACACCAACTTGAATGAAAATTCGGGAAAAGTACCAGCCAGGCCTTGACATTCTGAAGCAAGCAGGCCGTGGGCATGTGGTACCAGGTCGGAGGGCCCAAGTCAAGCCAAAGGAAGCAGAGGCTGGGATGAATAGAGGCTCAGTCCAAGTCGACATAAGGACTGGCCAGCCACATTTCAGGGGGCTGCCATATATATTGTCACACTGTGAATCGGAGCGCAAAGGCGGAAAAAAGCAAAACAAGGAAAGGAAAAGAAGGAAGCAAGGAAAGCCCCACCTGTTCATCACCTCTTACGTACAAGGCTTATAGTCAAACGGATCTGCTTACGGTAAACCGTAGGCAGAGAGGGAGGGAGAAGAGGACAACAAACGAGGGGCTGTGACAAGCTGTTTCGTCGGAGTTTCGCAGACTCATCAGGAGGCTGAACCCTCAACAGTCTGCAGAATCCCCTAACTGATTACACTGTAAGTGATCATCCACCTTAACCCCGGCTGTGGTTAAGCATCAACGACTGCCTGACAACTGATACCTTGAGGTGGGCACCGACCACTGCCCTCAAGGTACCCGTGACGAAAATCAAAGCAGACCCACACCAGATGGAAACCTCTACAGACTGTCGGTTCACACCCCATCACAAGCCAGCAAAACACCCACGAAACAAAGAAAGGTCTGTCACAGCCAAAAATACACTCTAGACACGTCGCTGGCACTAGAGGCACAGCACGGCCGCGTACTGACGGCCCCGACCACTGTCGCTCGACCTGACCGGAGAAAACCGTAGCAGGGTGCTAGCAAAGTCGTGGTATATGTCTGGCGATATATATATATATATAAGAGTTCAGCCTCCTGACGAGTCCCTGAAACTCCAACGAAACGGTTTGCCACAGCCCCTCGTTTGTTGTCCTCTTCTCCCTCTCTGCCTACGGTTTACTGGGCAGCTCTGTTTCGTCGAACAGTATATATATATATATATATATATATATATAGTCAAACAGAGCTGCCCAGTAAACTGTAGGCAACGAGAGGGAGAACAGGACAACAAACGAGGGGCTGTGGCAATCCATTTCGTTGGAGTTTCACCGACTCATCAGGAAGCTGAACCTATATATATATACCTATATATATATCGTCACAAATAGAACTGCCCGGTAAACCGTAGGCAGAGAGAGAGAAGAGGACAACAAACGAGGGGCTGTGACAAACTGTTTCGTCGGAGTTTCACCGACTCA